CCCCAAAACCCCAAAACCCCACCAGGAAAAAGTATTCAATCAAGATAGATAATTTATAGAGCATTGCAATTAAGTTTATTATATGTTAAGGTTCATTAAATTCATCATTTTTAATTAAAAAATCTTTGCTTGAATATCGGTAAATTAGAGTGTTAAGAATTTTGTAAAGCATTAAATTGCCTTTTTTCGCTCCCATTATCACTGCTTACTGATTAAAAGTGATTTTTGAATAAGGATGACCCTAGAGTAGGTGTAAATACCAAATTTTGATTCACGTTAATCCCGTTAGGTTATCTTGTTCTTGAGTTATGACTTTAGAGAATATCCTTGGTATCAGGAATTTAATTCTAAATCAGGATATTTTTACTCATTTACCTATCCATTCTTTGATACTTAATATCCATTTCACTCTCATTCAACCCTTCATAGTTTTCCTTCTCCTATGAAATAGCTCTCTTTTAAGCTGGATGATTAAGTGTGTTGAAGTTTGAACCTCTTTGCTTCAATTTCGATTAAGCATTTACATTGCTAGTACTTGATTAGAAATTACACTCAGATAGGTATTTCTGCACTAGTTTATTCTCTCTGATGTAAAACTTCCAAGCAACGAAAACTGAGAATAACTTTGAATGCTTGTTTTTGTGTTTAATCTCGGCAATTGCTTTTTTATATGCAGTGAAATACTTGCGAGTGAGTCTATCATACATTAAATCGAATGCAGCTTGATTCTTGGCTCTATATTCATTTCTGTCACAGCGCTTCTTAACAGAGTAGTTTCGAAGTACATAGAAGTACTTTTAAAGATGCTTAAAGTAATTATTATCCTCGATATAGTCAATTGCTGTTTAGATTTTATTATTTTTATGTTTATTTCTCAAATGATAGCCTTTATAGGCAGTGAATACTCTACAGATTAATTAAAGACTTTATCTCGCTTGTATCTCCTCAATGCCTTATCTTTAGTGAACCTTTTTATTGTATCTTAATCTCCATTGATTGAAATACTTCTGAGATAGATTTTAATTCCTAAAGAATTATTGGAATTAAAATTTTACTTGATTGTTTAGGTTTCATGTTGACATTATTCCAAATGATAATGATATGCATTTTTCTAAAGGTTAAATGATAAACCTTTCAAGGCTTTTCTCATAAGACTTACATTGTTGAATTCTTGACACTAATGGAAATGAATGATTATTAATAATGCTTACTGAAAATTTTAAATTTCTTTTGTAGCAAACAACAGTGACTCCTTCTTTCCAGGAGTTGATAGCTTTTTGTGCCAGCTAATATGAGTAAAATTCATCTGCTTATCTTTATTGCTCATTCTCAACTTATATGACCTCCTTAATATTCTTCCATTTCTCAAAGACGTATTTAGCAAGGGCTGTCGAGCATATTCTCGCTTATTTTTGATTGCTATCTATTGAAGAAATAGTATGAGCATACTCGGAGTTTAATCCTAAGAAGAACTTAGAGAATGTAAGAAGAAGCTCAGGTCTTCTTTCGCCATAAAATTGTATAACTTTGAGCATTTGATATTTCTATTGAATTTTCTTGAGTCTATAAATCTCAAAAGCTCTCATGCATTTCTTAAGCAATCTATCATTCCGTCTCTATTCTAGTATGTCAAGCTATTCCTTTTTCTCCAATCTAATCATCCATTCATAGAAAAATCTTTTTTTTTCTTTCTTAGCTCTCTTCTTCTCAAATTTCTGCACTTTTTCATCTAAATTTTAATCCTTAATGGCGTAGTTAAACATCGATTCTAAACCATCTTGATAGATGGGATTTATGAGATTCTAGAGCTTTTAAATTAACACAGTACCTTTTACTCTATCATTCTACCTCCATTTATTTAAAACTTCTTTTGCCAAATGATATGTGTGATTTAATTGCAGAGACTTTTGGTAATAATCTCTTTTCTATCTATATTATGTGTATCGTCTCCATTCTCTCAAAACACTTGACTTTGTGGAGTCTTCCTCTTCTTTGTATCTAAAAACATATATTAGCTCGCATGTTTTCATAAAATAAGCCCCTCTCTTCCATTGATTAAAACAGTGGCTCTTATCAACTTGTTCAAATTTTTCAAGAAGAGTAGCAAGCTTTACTTTGAACTGCATTTTCCTCTAGAATGCAGCTTGCCAATCTCTAAACTTTGAGCAAATCAGATTTAAATTTGTTTGATTCTCTAATTATGATACTAAGTTGCTTCTATCAATTATGAATTTAAAGGCATGCAAGGTTTTAACTTTTAACCCATAGTTTACATTTATATGAGATTTAAGAACCTTTACAGAATTCTATTTTGAAAGTTCAAAGGCTTGAAATACTTTGATCGCTAAACTTCTATTATGATTAATCATTGCTTATTGATTCTTTACATTTAATAACTTTCTAAATTAGCTATTCTAGATAAGCGCTGTGAGTACTATAGCCTTAGTTTTTACATTTTAGCTTACTTAAATCATATATGATTTTCTTGCATTGGTTTACTTTTACTTAAGGTAATCCAATACCCTCTTCTTTGTAAAGAGATCTTTTTAAGTTAAATGCTGTTTTACTATAGAGAGCTATTAGAATAATGCTCTCCATTTATTGAAGTATTAATTTCTTAATTTTCTAAGTTTTCTTTTGTTAATTTGTTTCTCTACTTGCTTTGATTTGCTGTAAGCCTTTTAATTTTGTCTCATTGCATTAAACAGTCTTTTTGTTTTAAGTTATCTCATAATTTAAGCGATCTGATACTTATTCTTAAACTCATTCTTCATATTAATAACCAAAATCTTAAAAAGCGATCGTTTCATCATTTCTTGGTCTAAACCTTTAATAACTTGTAGCATAATCATTCTTTTCTTCTTCATTAGCTAGTTGTGACATTTATAAAGTCTTAATTTTTCAAAAATTTTTCTCTCAGTAACTATTATCTAGTGCAGTCTTGCATGCTAACTCACTTATTTCTTAACTTTTTGTTGCTTTTTATTCAACTTAAACATTCCAAAAGATTTTTAGAGAAGAGAGCTTAGTCTATATTAAGTGCTATAGTAATTTTGATCCTTTAAATTTTATCTCTTTGTTTTGTTCTCATTTAATTTAGCAAATACAATAGATCCATAAATTCTCTACTAGGACTATCTCATTACAATTGATTGTTAGTTAATAATATTTTGCTAACTTATTAGAAATCTAAAGGTTTTGAAGTTAACTTCTTTCAATTTTCTCACATATTGATCAATGGCTATCTTATATAACTCATATTGGTTTTTTCTGTGAGAAACATATTACTGGAAGCAACTTAGAATTTTGATAAGATATTTTTTCCTTTGATATTCTTTAATATCTTAATTTCTCTATTTACATACTACTCTTTACTTGCTAAACATAGTCAATTGCTTTATAGCATATTTCTTATCATTTTTCTAAGAATGCTTGTTAAACTACTGAATTCTTTGTTCAAGAGATATAAAGTAATTGGTTTCATCAACCCATTTAGCAAATCTAAACAAAGTCATCTTTTTATTTCTATATTTTATCATTTGTTTAAGGCCTTTTAGCTTTCTTAGTGATTTTGATGCTCTTTCTATCCATTATGACATATATTTTTTGACATTGGCATTTTAGCTTTTTCTTTTAATCTTAATTTACTTCTAAATATCCTATTTGTGATTTCTATAGTATTATATCCAAGTTTACACTGCTTTTCTAAACATATAATCCTAATTAAAATCTATTGCTGAATACAATTTTCCCTTTAGTTCTCTTCTCTATTTTACTGTTCTACTTAGTTTCAAGAACCATAGTTTTTTAAATACTTGCGTAAGATATAATCTTTTGCAAGCAAGATCATTTTTTAACTGCATTTAAACTGCCTTGTAGAATTTTATAATGCTAAATATCTTGAATTTTTTGTTGAGAATGCTTTGTTAAAATCTAAATATAAGCTGTAATTTATTCATAAACCTATCTCTCCAGGAATAAAACATTTAAACTTTGTCTTTACTAGCATATTTGGCTTTTAAATAATCATAGGAAGCCATATAATGCTATGATTTCATTGATCTGAGTCTTAGTTATCTGAAAACTTGTCTTTTAACTTTAGTCAACTTATGTTTATCTCCTTATTTTTTCAGTTTTAAATACCCGACATGATTTTTCCAATCATTAAGCAATCCTCTCAGCACCTAATTTTTTATTTGAATAACGGTAAAGGCATATGTTACATACATTTGCCTTCTTTGCTTATACAGCTTACTCCATTTATTAAAGAATTTAGCTGTTGCAAATATTTTATTTTTAGATTAAACAGTCTCAGCATTAGATTAAGCTTTATCTATATTTTTCTTGTTCAACTTCAAAATATTGAAAAATTGAAGCATCAGATATGATGATCTTTTTTCTTACATAACTTCTGTAGTGGACTCATAAAAGGCCTATATGTGCTAAATCTATTTAAAAGCGAGTTTAAGCTAGATCTATTTAAGTAAAACTGATATCATATTGCAAGATATCTTTTTATTTAGCTTTCCATTCCATTGCCTGAATACTCTATTTTTCACTAAGCTATGTATACTCTTGGTTAGAATATCATCATTTAACTTTCTCTATATTTTGAACTGCTTAAAGAGTTTGAGTCTGTCGAAAACTCTCACAACTAATTTAGTTTGTCTATCAGTGTCAATGTATTAATACAATTCATTTTACTTCCTCATATTTTCAATTCCTTGATGCCAAAAGGCTAAAGTTTTCTTAGCTTGCCAATATCTCTGCTCTTAATCAGCAGCTTGCTTCCTTACTCTCATCTTCTACTTATGAGTAGTATACTGCTTAATTCTTTGAAAGCATTTATATTACACAAGGTTTGTCTAATGATCTTCTATTTATCTTTCTTGCTCTGTTAAGTATGACTATTTCCTGTAAATTAGGTACCATTGACGAAGAAATCGTTTTCTGATGAAATTCCTCTAGAATTTTTATTTCAAGATTTATAAATGATCCTGCTTTAGCTTGGAATGGAGCTATCTAAGCCATAATGCTAAGAATTTAGATAGGTTTCTATGCTTGTAAATCTTATTCGCTACTTCTTCATTTTGATTAATTTATTAAATCCTACTGAACTTGCTCATCCATAAATTTAGATGTTCATTTAATATTCTTTTTTTTCTCATCAGTAGTATTTTGTAGAAATTTTTTGTCATTTTTCTGTTTTGACGGGTATGCTTTCTAAATGCTCTAAATACCTTTTTGAGCAATTTCAAATTGTTCTTTTTAGATTTACCTTGAACTACATGCTTCTTATATCGATTCTTTTATGTTTAATGCTTTAAAACTTGGAGAACATTGAAAGATGTTTTTAATCTTAAATCTTTCTTAAATTCTTTCATCTTTCTTGCTCTATCCTAAATGACTTTGAATACACTTTTTAGGTAGTACTATCTTAAATTATCATTTGCTTCATAGAAGAAAGATCTATATCTAAGATTTTTACTAAGGCCGATAAAGTTTAACATCAAATTAGGATGCAAGGTCAGCTTATTCTTTATCTATTTTTGTTTCGGGAAATCTTACCAAACATTGTCCATGACTTTAGCAAAAGAATGCTCAAGAATTATTTAAGCACATCTTAGGAAAGGCCCGCAATTAGGGGTAAATGGAATCCTATTATCGTACCTATATTTATTGAGAGCTCTAAATATTTTCCTAATTTTCACTCTAGCCATGTAGTTACATATCAGGTAGTGCTTATCTTTTTACTCTTAATTATATAGCACTAGTGATTTAAGAGATTTTATTAGGAGATTATGACTATGATATCTTTAAAGAAATTATTTTTAGTTCTTTGCCCCTCTCTTAAGGTAGGTTAAATATTTCAAATTCCTAAAATGTCTATGAAGCAACCAATATCTATTTTGCTAGTGTGCCAGTTTGTTCTTTCTATTATGAACTGCATATTATCTCAGCACCTGATAAGCCTTGTTCTTAATTATGTAATTGTATTAATTATAGAAATACTATCTAGCACTAATTATTCTTCTCTTCTTTTCAGTTTTGAGAATTGAATTTTATTGTAAGGCATGCAATGCTTTCTTCATCAATTATTACTGGTAAAAAATTCTAGTTCTCTAAGACACTCTTCGATCTCTCCTATTTACTTTGGCATTTAGCTAAAGAGTTCTAAATGCTTTTATCTTCAACTTCTGATAGCAAATGTGATATCCTGTGAGTTTCCTTGTTCTTTCAATTCTTTGCTCTAAGACTGCTTGCTTTAATTGAGAAAACACTTGTCTTAATTTCTATGATCTTAAAACCAATTTAGTTGAAATTAATTTAGCTTTCATCTCTTTTTATTTCTCAGCTCTTTATTTAAGCAATAGGAAACTTTTCTCCAATAAAAGTTTCCTGTGAAATTCCTTAGCTTTACGTTGTAATCTCTCCTAAGGAAGTATTACTTTAGTGTAGACCTTCCAATTTTACCAAGATTTAAGAATTTGCTTCTACCTTACAAAGTTTTTGGCTATCCGCTTTAAATGATTTGCTCTCATTTTTTAGATTTTATTTATAAGCAATGTTTTCCAGACCTTTAGCAAAAGCTTTCTTGTCTAAAATGCTATAGAAAGTTTGATGTTTGAGTCAATAACGTTCTCTTTCTTTTAGGTTCTTTGTGATTAATTCTTTGATAAAATTTTTGAGTCTCTTGACTTTGATCTTAGAGGTGAAATATCCTTATTAGCGTTATTCATTTAATACTACTGATTCTCTTTGTCCTAATTACTGTAATTATTAGTCTTTAGTTGAGACTCTATATTGAATATTTGATTATCAATAGATTGTAGTTCACTTTCAGTTATTAATTTCAATTTAGGGAATTTTGAGGCGATATTCAATCCATCATCTCTCCTGTAAGGGTTTGTCTTCGAACTTTCGATTACCACAGAATTTTAATGAGAGTACTTTAGAATGCTACTATCATCAGCAGGGTTATGATACTTCTTATGGCTTTGAAATACTGACATCTCTTAGCTTTTCAATTCTTCATCATCCTATTCAACTTATATGAGATTTCCTTAAGCAAACCCAATTGAATTTTATAATAGTTCATCAGATCTCTGCATTAGATTTTCTGTCGAATCCTCATTCAAAGAATACTGATTATTATCATTGAATTTCTTGAATGAATCATAATTTTACGCTTGAATCAAATCATTAAAAGATAGCTTTGGTAGTCTTATAGTAGTCACGTTATTTGCTCTATTTGAATTTTGTTAAGATAGGTTATGATTTTAGTTCAGAGTTGAAAATACAGAACCCATTGAGTTCGTATTTTTAGTATAAGCATTAGAGTCAAATAAACTAAGGTGTTGAGGGTTTTGTTAGCAAGCAATCTAATAAGCATCTTAGAATTAGGTGTCACTATTATTATTTAGAGAGAACTAGCTGTTTAGCATACCATTTTAATTTTGAGATAAGTTCTAAGCTGGAGTTTGATTCGACTGACCTTATAAACTTTGAAATTAAGAGTTCATGACAGTTGGTGGAGGTCGAGGTATTTTAGAGTTTTTAATTTCAGATCTCTGAACCCCTTCATTGTTAAAGCTGATAGAGTTTTATCTTTGCTTGCTAGTTTTTATTTACTCTTAATTATTATTCTATCCTCCAAATGATCCGAGAAAATCAAATTACAGATCCTCTATAAATATCTAATCATTAGAAATAACTTACGATTCAAAGTCTCATAGTTTGATGATAAATTTTCTTTCTCTATTGTCTATTTCTTCTCTTCCTTCCCATTACTTCTCTGAATTTGGAGCAATTTACGATAAATTTACTGCCCTTTATCCTTTGATATTTGATAGTTTTCTAAGATTAAATTTCGATAATTCTATTGAAATTACATATCATTTCATCATAGGAGTTCAATATGTCAAGTAAGTTCAAGTCTTCAACTCTTTTTTTGTGATTGAAATCTAAAGCATGATCTAAAATTTCGTTGATAATCTGCTTCTCGTTTGGTTCAATCTATCCTTAAATCAAAGTATTCGAACCAGATGTAGTCAATGTTTAAGGATTTGAAACTAAAATAGTGCTTGCTTTTTTAAGTGAATTTGCAGAGTCAAGATGCTAGGGCTCCTTTGACTTTGCAAGAGTTCGTTGTTTGCGTACCATTTAAATTAATTCAAATTTAAATTATCTCCAATCAAAATAAATTAAGATGCTCGGGGTTTTGGGGTTTTGGGGTTTTGGGG